ACGCCACGGGGCCTGCAGGACTTAGCGGGGCGGTCTCCGGCCCAGCAGCGGCGGCGAAACCTGGCGCCGAGCGGGGGGCCTTCTCAGGGCCCCGGGACGCATCTGTGGGTTCCGGGGCGCATCTGTGGGGCGTCTCCGAGAGGACTGGGGGCGTCCGTGGGACCTGGACCGAGCCTGGGGCCTGCCTTCCATCACATAGCTGGCCTGGATCGTGTCTGTAGTCCCTGTAATCGTCTTTATGGGCTGACCGGAGGCTAGGGTCTGCTTAGAGGGTTCTGGGGCCATCTTGAGATCTTGAGATGTGTCCCAGGGGTGAAGGAGGGTCTGCAAGAGCTGAGGAGTGTCTGCAGAACCATCTAGAGCTCCTGGGGTATGTCTGTCAGGGCTGGGAAGTGTCTGCACGGGCTGGCCTGAGGTTGTAGCTGGTCTACCTAGGTTGGGGACGTTTATCGGACCTTGAAGAACTGTGTAAGGGATAGGGAGTCTTTGAGGGCTACCCAGAGGGGTAGGGGGTGACCACCAAGGGAGGGAGCCAAATACTGAGATGGACAGAGAGGCTTGGATGGGTCTCCAAGGCCCTGGGAGTGCCTAATATGGATGACAGGAGGCTGGGGGCAGTTAGAAGGACCTGGAACCATCTAGGTGGCTTTAGTGTGACTGCAAGAATGCAGTCTCTGCCTGGAGCAAATCTGAATGCTCTTTGGGATCAGATAAACCTGTGGAGAATAATACAAAAGAGAGTGTTGGAAATTTTGCCCAGCTGAAATGTATTTGCCCTTCAGAAAGTAATTCAAATGAAAAATGTTCTAAAATTCTGCATTGCCCTGGGGTTATAGAGAGAATGAGAATTAATCCACATTAGTATGGGAGAGTCTGTAGGGTCATCTAGACCCATTAGTACAGTGCTTTTCAAATTCTTTTGACCTTGATCTGCAGTAAAGATACATTTTTCCTTGAGACCCAGTACATACCGACATGTATTTAACTAATACCCATGGCCCATGAATTGACATTTCCACTGACTACTCGTGATGTACTTTGAAGAACATTCTGTTATGTTCTGTTTACTTTTATAACAAGCTGTGGTGAAGCACTAAACTGATATCAAGCCCTATAGTTGGGGAAACACTGATCTAGCCAGACCTAGCAGGATCTGCAGAACCTTCTTATGTCTGAAACAACTAAGGAGCTGAGGGTGTGTCTGCAGAGATTGGAGCTGTCTCAATGAGCAAGTGAGCTTCTTTGGACACTGCGGAGGGTTTGGGGATCTCTGAATCTGTAGTCAGCAGATGTCGATGAAGCTTCTGATAGGTGACAGTGACTGTTCTAGGTAGCATGTGCTTCCCAGGGAGGTGCTGGAGAGCAGCTCCAAGGCTGGGAAGTATCCCCAGGGCTTGAGGGTATTGAGTACTGGTGAGAAAGATGCTAGGATGTAGTAGCCTATCGGGGAGTGGGGTGTGTCTTTGGAAGTTTAGGGAATAGGCCAAACTAGGGAACTGAACAGAGAAACTTTGGCATAGCTTGAAAATCTGCAGTGGGATGGAGAACAGGGCCAAAGTATTTTCTTTGCATGTATGCAGCAGGAGGTGTGCCTTAAGGGTTAATAATGTAATTACTGTTCATCTGTACTAAGCACATGGGGTGCACAAAATGTGTGGAAGCCAGTCTTTCCATGCTCACAGCCGTTCTCGGAGACAGATACTACTATTTTGCCCATTTACAGGGTAGCACACTGAGTTGTGGGTTAGGGATTTTGAAGCTTTCTAGGAATTCTGAGATTGGGCATTGTTTTATAAGTAGCAGATTTGATAGTTGTGGAGAAGCTTACAGCTGAGAAACTTATATTTTTGGAAGCCCTAATCAAGACATCCACCAGTTTGAAGGATCTTTCGACTGCGTGACTGGGCAATCAAATCTGAGAATTTCCATGACATTGCAAAGACTTCGTGCAGATAGACGATAGGCAAATGCCCCCTATGGGCATTGGGGTATAATGTGTCTTTCTGCAGTTGAGCATTTTCATTTTAAAAATGGCATATTGGTTTTGCAGATGATTATGGTTCTGTGTTATGTATATAAATAATATATTGGGAAGTCCTCACCATCGAGGACAGTTGATGCTTTAGATAGCTGTGTGGTGTTTGAGGCATGGCATTGAATGCCTCCCTGCACTCTGGCACACACCTCCGCTTAAGGTGGGTTTATGGGAGTGTGGACCATACTCTTTGAAATCACAGCACAACATTCACAACTTGGTGTTGAGTTTGCATCCCAGAAGGGCTAACTGTATAGATTGGGTAGCTTGTGGGAAAAGTCATGGGAACAGGGGAGTGAGACGTTGAAACTGGAGGCCAGGGAAGCCTCCCTTTGACAGAGAAGGCTGCCGAAATCCAGGAAAAGGAAGAGAATTGCTGTCATCCCTGTGCTGTCTACACTAGGCCGGGAACTCTCCCAGGCACAGAGTAGACTGGGGTGAGGTGGAGAAGAGGAGAGCTGCTGAAGAGGATGCTGAGGGATGTGGTGTTGGGCCCTTCACATCCATCCTCTGCTTCCATGTCCCCCCCGGGCCTGCACTCCAAGCTCTCACCCCTCAACTGCCAGGTGACCATGGAGGAAGAAGATGAGTCTCGAGGGAAGACAGAGGAGTCGGGCGAGGATCGTAGCGATGGTCCGCCAGACAGAGACCCTGCACTTTCTCCTTCTGCCTTTATCCTGGTAAGCCTCCGGACTCCTGGTGCTGGGGAAGGGAGAGGCTGGGAATCCTGACTCCTGAGGGGGAGGAGCGGCGGGAGCCTGAACTCTTGGCTCCTGTGGTGTACTTGAGTCTGGTCGTCGGGGTGTTTGGGATGTCTGTCTCCCAAGGAACAGAGGCTGCAAAGCATTTACCCGTGTCCTTTGACTCTTGTTTCTAACCCTCTTCCCAGCGGGCCATCCAGCAGGCTGTGGGAAGCTCCCTGCAGGCAGATCTGCCAAATGATAAAGGTATGGTGGGTTCAGGTACCTGTCGGCCCCTGCCTCTTCTCTGCATTCTTTATCCTAGTGTCATTCATAGAAACTTTTCCAAGGCCTCTTGGGTGGCACCCTTGTGCTGGCGCAGGGAGCTAAAGAAGGGGCAGTCCCCGTGGCTTTCTTGGGGTGCCCACAGTCTGGGGAGGGAAGACCCAGCCACAGCCCTACGAGAGGGCAGGGGGCTCACCTGCGCTGACGTGCAGGGGGATGGGTCTGGGCATGCTTCCCAGAGGGGTGGCAGGGAAACTGGGTCTCTAAGGACGCGTGGGAGTTGTCAAATTAGAAAAAAGTCTGATGGGTAATACCAGGCCCACAGTGCAGGAGCATGGTGGCTGGGGACTGTGTTGTGGTTCGTCAGGGCGAGTTTGCAGGAGTGGGTAAGCAGGGCTAAGGGTGGGTGGGCAGCGTCTGTGGGGATGAGTCCCAGCAAGGTTCAAGTGCCAAGCTGAGGCATCTGGGGGCAGATAGGAGGACGAATGGCTGAGAGAGCTGGCGTCTTGGAAGTGGGTGCTGGGTAGTCCTTCTGGGACCTAAGTTGGGGCGTGGGGCATGAAAGCTGGGAGAGCTGGCGGGGTCTGGTTTCATTTTCAGGAGCTAGATCAGGCTCCTCTTTCCCCTGCAAGGGCTCTGTGTTTAGTCCCCTGTCTTCAACCCCCCATGCAATTGTCTGTCTGCAGATGCTTCTCGGTGTCATGGCCTTCGATGGAGGCGCTGCCGGAGTCCACGGTCAGAGCCCCGTTCCCAGGAATCAGGGGGCACTGACACGGCTACTGTAAGAAGAGGGGGCTGGGGGCGGGAGGGACTGGGGCTGATCCCTGCATCTGGGTAGGTAGGGGGTAGAGACCTAGCCTCCTGGCTGTAGAATGCTGTGTGGGGGCAGTGTTGGAGGGTCTGAGGCTGGGCCCTGAGTCCGGAAGGCAGTCCCAGGTTTTCTTGGGGGCTGAGTTGTCTGGGCTCCTGAGAGGGTAGGGACTGGGAAGTAGGATTTGCCAGTCCTCACATGAGCAGGGACAGTGTGGAGCCCCTCCTGGCCTATTCCAGGTGTTGGACATGGCCGCAGACAGCTTCCTCGCGGGGCTGGTGAGCGTACTGGATCCCCCGGACACCTGGGTTCCCAGCCGCCTGGACCTGCGGCCTGGCGAGTGAGTAGCTGGGCAACTGGGGTGGGAGAGGCCACAGAGTGAGAGCCAGAAGCACCCCTGAGGCTCACCTACCCCTTCTGCCTTGCAGAAGCGAGGACATGCTGGAGCTGGTGGCTGAGGTTCGAATCGGGGATAGGGATCCCATCCCTCTGCCTGTGCCCAGCCTGCTGCCCCGCCTTAGGGCCTGGAGGACGGGCAAAACGGGTACGTGGGGCCAAGGTGGAGCTGGGCAGGTGGTCTCAGAGCTAGAGTCGTGGGGGAGTTGGCTCTTTTTAGTAGGGATAGAGTGATGATTGTGTCATTTAGATCCCACCCGTAGCTTTTCGTATCAGACTACGATAAAGGCTGTAGGTGCATACGGACGAACATAAAGTAAAAACTGATGCTTAGGGACCACGTAGGAGCAGCTAAATGTACGAGACACTTGGTGTCAGTGCTCGAAGTTTGCCACTGCATTGGAAATTCATCTGCCCGGGAGGAGGACTCTTAGCATCTCCATCTTCCAGAGGAGCAAAGAGTTCAAAAGAGGGAAGTCGCTTGCTTAGGGTCATACAATCAGTTGCTTAGTGGTGGGCCTGGCCCTTGAACCCCGGTGTGTCTGAGCCTAAAACTCAGTTTTTTTTATTTCTGCAGTATACACAGGTAAGAATCTGGCACATGCCTGTTATCCAGCTACTCAAGAGACTGGGACAGGAGAATCTCTTGAGCCCAGTTGGGTGAGCCATGATTACACCACTGCAACCTAGTTTGGATAACAGAGCAAGACTCTGTCTCTAAAAATGAAATAAGAATCTGCTCCCCAACTCCGCACTCATTTATTTTGAGTCAGAGTCACACTCTGTCACCCAGGCTGGAGTGCAGTGGCACGCTCACAGCCACTGCAGCCTCAACCTGCTCAGGTAATCCTTCTGCCTCAGCCTCCCAGTAGCTAGAACTACCACACTGGGCTAACTTTTTGATTTATTATAGAAATGAGGTCTCATCATGTTGTCTAGGCTGGTCTCAAACTCCTGGGCTCAGGCAGTCCTCTCACCTCCTCCTCCCTGTGCCCGACCCTGTGAGCAGTTTAGACTAGACTTGCGTGTGCACATGAATCGCTGGGAGGACTTGTTAATACACAAGTTGCTGGGCTCACTCCCAAGATTTCTGATTCTGCAGGCCTCAGGTCAGGCCTGGGAACTTGCATTTTTAACAACACATGCTGCTTGTCCAATGAGAATTCTGGGTTTAGACCTTCCTTCTGCATGAACAAACATATTTGGGGGAGATGGTGAAGGGAGGAGACGAAGGTGCCTTTGGCTCAGGAGTAGCATTATGTTAGCCATGAGCACCGGTTCCATGATAGAGCCTGACTTGCACACCCCTCTGTGCTAGGTCATGTGTACCTTGTTTCTTGGTTTTTTTCCCCAACAACTGTGAGCTGACTTGTCTTCTAGGCATGGGAGACGTGGTGCCTAGGTCCACAGCACTCTTAGAGCCCACGAGTATTTTGGTTTCTCTTAAAATCCCAAGGTTCTAATAAAACTTTATTTACAAAGAGGTGGTGTGTCACGTTTGGCCCCTGGGCCTTGAGAGTAATATAGATGTATCAGGAATGTAATGGTTATTTTCAGGGGGACTGTAAGGTTATTTATTTATTTATTTTTTGAGTCGGAGTCTCACTCTGTTGCCCAGGCTGGAGTGCAGTGGCACACTCATAGCCACCACAGCCTCAACCTCCTGGGCTCAGGTGATCCTTCCGTCTCAGCTTTCCAAGTAGATGGAACTACAGGCATGTGCCATCATGCCCAGCTAATTTTTCTTGATATATTGTAGAGATGAGGTCTCGCCAAGTTGCCCAGGCTGGTCTCGAATTTGTGGGATCAGGCCTCCCAAAGTGCTGGGATTATAGGCTACTGCTCCTGGCCATGTTTTATTTTCTTATTCCAGGTGTTTGCTTTTGTCTTTTCCTTCCAAAATTTTTAAGGATATAGGAAAAAGAAAACAAACCTATAATCCTATCATGTACAGAAATTATAAAATAAATGATGTTTCTTCATTTGCAGACCAGTGCTGTCTGTGGACTGTTTTATGTTTAGGTGGTGGTGATCCTAGCGAGAGTAGGAAGGGCATACGCTCACTGTGTCCTCACTTGGTGCCAGTGCTGCTTGGCTCTTTCTTGTCCTCTTTATTTCTCCATGAATCCTGTCATCGTCACCTTCATTTCCCTGTAGAGCTCCCAGCAGCTGATGGACTATACGCTTGACTTGTTGCTCTCTCCCCCTCCCTTCTCAAATGTGAGGTCCTTGAAGGCAAGGAATTTTGTCCATTTTGCTCACTGTTTTCTATTCTTCGTACCTCAAACAGCCTCACATGAAATAGGTGATTAATAAATGTGTGTTGAATGAATGAGTGAACCCCCGTTTGATAGATGAGGAAGCTGAGGCTGACATATTGAGCCAGGCCTATGGTCACGTGGCTCATGGAGGCTGGAACCTGGTGCCAGAGCTGCCCTCTTCAATCCTCTGCTTCCCTGGCTCGTTCCACTGTGTGAATCCAGACATGCCCCTGCCTTCACTAAGTAAATATGGCACCGACACTAGTGTTCAGCACAGCGGGCTCTTTGGAGGGTGAACAAGGTAACACCCGAAACAACACACCTGGTCTGGTAGAAGGGGCAGGCTCTTGCCATGAGAACCACCGATCAGTGCTCCTGAGTCCTGAGCAGGTGTAGCCCTTGGGCGGGGGGCCTCGCACAGAGGGAAGAGCTAGGGTGAGGACGGAGCTCCCCAGCTCTGCCGCTTCCTGGCTCTGAACTGGGATCTCCTCTTTTCTGCCTTACATTCTTTCCCCTACAAAATGGGATTGAACTCCCTTGAGAGGCAGCTGGCACTTTGGCCTTGGAAGTGGGCTTAGGTTTGAACCGTGGCTCTCCTGCCCCAGGCTTGGCTTCTGTCACAACATTGCTGTCACCAATCAAGGTGGTTCCTAGGCTCCTGGCTTCAGGGCCAGCGTACGTTGCCCAGGGTCAGGCTAACGCTACGGCTACCTGTGGAGATACAGGAGTGCAGGCTCCAGGGCCACATTGACTGGGTTAACACCCTCACTGCTCCCCACTCCCTGTGTGCCCTTGGGAGGATACTGCAACTCTCTGCCTGTTTCCTCTGGTGATCCGAGGTTGAAGTACCTGTGGTGTGCAGGTGTCAGTAGATGTAAGCCACATGGAGATTTCTGTGCAGTTCCTGGTGGCACAGTGTTGGTGGCAGGGCCCACGAGTGGGGGCCAGGGGGCGCCTGCCCTGACCTTCTCCTTATTTCTTTGCAGTTTCTCCACAGTCTCACTCTTCTCGACCCACCTGTGCCCGCCACCTCCTCACCTTGGGCACAGGCGATGGGGGCCCTGCCCCACTCCCAGCCCCCTCCTCTGCGTCCTCCTCCCCTTCTCCTTCCCCCTCATCTTCCTCCCCTTCGCCTCCCCCTCCTCCCCCGCCCCCTGCCCCCCCAGCTCCGCCCGCCCCCCGGTTCGATATCTACGACCCCTTCCACCCCACCGACGAGGCCTATTCCCCGCCGCCTGCTCCGGAGCAAAAGTACGACCCCTTCGAGCCCACGGGCTCCAACCCCAGCTCATCAGCGGGGACCCCCTCACCGGAGGAGGAGGAAGAGGAGGAGGAGGAGGAAGAAGAGGAGGAAGAGGAAGACGAGGAGGAGGAAGAAGGCCTGTCACAGAGCATCAGCCGCATCTCGGAGACGCTGGCGGGCATCTACGATGACAACAGCCTGAGCCAGGACTTCCCAGGTGACGAGAGCCCCCGCCCGGACCCTCAGCCCCCGCAGCCGACTCCAGCCCCCGGAACGCCGCCCCAGGCGGACTCCACGCGGGCTGAAGGAGCCCCCCGGCGCCGCGTGTTTGTGGTGGGGACCGAGGCGGAGGCCTGTCGGGAAGGCAAGGTCTCGGTGGAGGTGGTGACGGCCGGGGGC